TTTATAAATTACATTACAATAAATATTTATATGTATAAAATATTTTTAAAAATTGTATAAATGATCGGGTTGGTTTGGTTTCGGTTCGACTTTTTTTAGTTAAAACCAAACCAAACCAATTATGGTCGGGGTTTTTTTTTCCCCCAATACCAAACCAAATCAAACCAAACCACAATCGAATTTTTTCCCCGGTTTGACTCGCATTATCGGTTTGGTGCGGTTTATCATTTTTTTTGTAAACCCCTAATAGAAAATACTACATAACTAGCGGAAAGCTATTGTAAGAGTAGTGGCGCCAACTTTACGATAGCCAGCCGTCCTATATAACTCTACAGGCGCGAAAATTCCATCGATCATGATTTCATGCTCAAGCAATTGACATATCTTTCATGGTGTTTGCTGTTATATATATGGCATTGTTTAGTTGCTTGAATTTTCTCCAGTGTTGATTTCTCAAAAGAATAGGCTAGTTATATGTCTGCATTACATATCCTGTGGCTAAGAACGACCCACGGATCCTCAGCAACATCTCGAGGTGCAATTAGTTGTCTTACATGAGACTCGAGGTATTCCCCTGTTACAAGGCATGATTCAACATAAATTCTCTCAAATGTTAATACAGAATCATGTCCCCTTTTCCCACTGCTCTATCATTTCAATCAGATGTGATTCAAACTCGCAGAGGATAAGGAATGACAGCCACAGACAAGAATCCATCTTCATTCTCTGTCAGGAGTAGACATTAGTTGTTCGTTCATTTGGTTTGTGTCTGATCTTGTTTTCGGAGTTTGAGTTCCTGACTAACACTTACCAGTTTATACAGTGTATTTTCTTATAATGGTGTGCGGGTGGCAAAACCTGTTTAGCTCATCAACGAAGTTCTTATTTGAAAAGGAAAATACTGTCGCAGAACTAAGTAGAACTGTCGCAAATAACGGAAATTTCATCCCTTGATCTCCAGATCTGCTATTACAACATCACGCCAACAGGCCTAGCGGCAACCTTAAACATTACAAAGGCAAAGCTAGAATTCATATCTGACAGACCCCACTCTAAAATATGTGAGCACTAAACAGTTGTCAAAAATAAAATGGAAAAACAAATGGGATGAATGTGCTATAGTTCAGTGTAGATGATCTACTCGTCTCACGAGTATAGTGCTTTTCAAATATTTGAGCGTGCATTAGAAAAAGGAAGAGTGTCCAGGAAGTACATTTAAGTGAGCTAGAACTTTAGCAGCCAAAGATTTCATGTCACTTCTTCCATTCTGAGTGATTTCCACAAGTGGCATCTGCGCTAATATCCCATACTTTTCCTTCATTTCTATCATTCGAAGTATCCTCTCCAAGGCCTTGAGAGATTTTTCTTGTAAAACGATAGATGATGAGCTCAACAATTTTATGATTGGAGCAATAACATTGGATTCTGCAAGTACCTTAGAACCATTCTGCAGTTGTGCACCTTCAATTATTGTCAAGATTGCATCTAAAGAAGCTTCAGCAGCTGCAGGATCTGATTCGTCTAGCACTTCTGCGAGGGGTCTGAGAGCATTAGCCTCTACAAGGCAGAATGTGGATTCAATGCTGCAAATTCCTAAGTGCACAGGACAGCTATGTGTCGGTGATGCAACACAACAGCTTAACATCCAATATTTTCTAACCGGCTTGCTCAGAATACACGAGCTTTCTGATAACTGCTTTAAACAAGTGGCTGCATTCTTTTTAGTCAAGGAACTGCCAGACGCTAGTAGGGATACCAAAAGAGTAATAACACCAGCTTCAGCAACTTGTTTTTGTGTTTCTGGATTTGTTGGAAGAGTAAAACGGCAAAGAGCTCCAGCAGCATTCTCTACAACTTCATTTCTTGGTAAAGCATGTTCATTTCTACCGCGTAAACAGTCTAAGATGACGTCAAGCGCCCCAGCATCAAGAAGGTGCTGAGACATTGAACAATATTGAGGAAGGTAGGAGATTATTCCCAACGCAGCAGCAGTCTCTTCTTCGTTATCCGAAGTTCTGATGATCCGCACCAAGTTCCCAATGCAGGTACTATTTACATGCTCTAAGAGAATATCATCATTGCCATCTTTTGTCAATAAATAGAAGAGTTTCACCGCATCAGCCCGTACCTTACGGTCATCAAGTTCACATAGGTAGACTAGTACCTTAATTGCGGAAATCTGACAATGAAACAATTATTGAAATGACAGCTAAAGTCAGAAATCAAATATGTTTATCTACATGAACTTCAAGATCTGACACTAGAGTGAAGTGTAATTAGTTGATTGTACAGGAGATGAAATGAAGAGCAATCATGAAATCATATCAGGAAATTAATACAAAAAGGAGATTTTCTTTACCTACTAGCAAGTAAGACAACAAAATCTTAGAGAAACTAAAGCATCAGGGCCAAAATGCTAACAACAGCTATACAATGTTTAAGCTTTTGGTAGTCCGTTAATTGCAAATTTTCTTTCCTATAACACAACCTGAACATATTTCTTTCCTAATGAGGATCATCAGTTTACAGTTTGAGTAAGTTAGATATCTTTAGAGGGAATTGTGTTTTCCCACTAGTTTATGACTCGGAGGAATGACTAGCTATAGTAAGTGTGAAAAATTATATCCGATTCTGCTAGCTTGTGCAAAAATATTGAAGATAATTTATCAGAATCTACATACCTGTCTCAGTTTAGTCCGGATATCAGAACCAGCAGGAGATTGGCACATTGCTTGAAAGATACGAAGAATGCTTTGTTGCATGTTAGATCCAGTCAACGATACAAGAGAAAAGAGTTTAAAAATATCGTCATGAGACTCCAACAGTGAAACCTGAACATCCTCTGATCTTTGCGAATTTGTTGACATGGCAAGTTGCATAATTGTTGCTGCAACATGTTCCCGTATTTCGTTTGACAAGGTGTGACAAAATAGTAGTTCAAATAGCAGGTCACTGACACCTTCCTTAACCATCAGCTGACCATTTTGTGTGACAGTTGAAAGGTTTTGAAGTGCTTTGACAGCAATACTTTTCATATCTGTATTGCTATGGGAGAGAAGTTCAAGAAGTGGCTTCAGCGCCCCATTTTCTATGAGGCACAGCTTAAGCTGGTCGCTCAACTCGATCTCTGACAAGGTTTTGGCCATGAACATACGCTTACTTTCAGTTCCTGCACCAATAATGAGGTAGACCTATAAATTACGGCTTCTGGAAGTAGTTTTGAATTCAAACAACCAATGATTACATCAACATAAAATCTGCCTTTTCAACTTCACCAACCATGAGCCATCTGTCACTTTATGGGTCTACCTGACATCAGGATATCATTCTTGGTTTCTGCCACATGCCATCCTATTTAACTTATTGGTTCATACCCTTATTAGATGTATTCTTGCATTAGTTCTTTATGTCGGCTTAATTTCCAAAATGGATGCGCTTACTCATCTAGACCGGTCAGATGCCTTGTGGTTGCAATGAATTGCAGACATCCTACGATCTCCAGAGCAGTTCCGAAATGCTTAACATAGTTTATTATTTATAGGTTAATTAGAAGCTAAAATAAAGTTCACTCAAAACAAAGTTCAGGCTTGGATCAAAAGAAGCTATCATCCAAAAGCACAAAAAAGGATGATTATAGCCTGAATTATGCAGTAACCTTGGGATCTTGAAAAATATCACTCAAAACAATATCATAAGTTTCAACTGTTAAGTATGATAGTGTTAAGCAAATACCTGAACATAGTTGTTGTAATAAGGGTGCACCATAATTTAATCTTGCCATCTCAATGACATTCTGATCAAGGAAAGAGAGATTCTTTAAAATCTCACTTGCATACTTTGCAACGGCAGAGTCATCACTATGCATGAAAGTAACAAGTAGAAGGATGCAACCCTGGACACTGCCCATCAAGTCCCGAACTATACTACTTCTCGATAGCTCCAAAAGCAGTTGCAAAGCCAATGTGCTTTCTTCAGGC